GTCATGAATCTCATGAGCTCGTCCCGGGTGACAGGCGCTGATCCAGCTGCCGTTTGAATTTCCCCTTCCGGCTGCCCAGGGAGTCTACTTGCACCCGCCTGGGAGGCACCCCGCTCCAGAGTCTCTCTGGGCCGGATGCGCTTGATTCTGAGAGAGCCGTCTTCGGCTGTAAAGGTTTCGACCTGAGGATCTTCATCCTCATAGTCTGTAAAGACTTCTGGGTCTTCACCCAGACGGTTAGGGGGTGGTACAGACTCTTGAACCATCTTCAAGGTACTCTCCCCACAGACGGCGCCAAATGTTTGTGGTGTTTTTGTCCCTCGGGAGACTTACAACACGAAGACTGATCCGAGGTGAGCTGTACCTGCAAAACAAACGGAGACACCAGATGGGTGGTGCTCCGCCTCCGACGCACAAGTTAGAAACTTGAAGGGAGAAAAAGGTGCGGAAATTTAGGTAGGGATCTGCTCGGATTCCAAGCTCAGGATGTCTCTATCAAAGAGTAAATGTGTAATAAATGATCAAACGTGCCCCCAAAAAGAGGGTCATCTCCCTATTTAGAGGGTCTTTGGATTTTGTGCCTCTAATTAGGTCACTGTACCCTAATCAGTGGTGGGTTGCGCCGCTTTGCGGCTTTCTCGGGATTTGGGCCTGAAGGCCGCCCTTTTTTCCCTTATTTTCTGGAGTGACACGTGTCAAGCAGAGATTGGTCCACTTTGGGCCATCTTGAGGCTGACACGTGTCGTCCTCTGGTTGGACCACGTGGCGGGGTAAAATTACCCTAAACACTAGGAATATCATAATAACAATATAAACATGATATCTACATCATAATATCAATAAAAACCATTTAAGCACTTACTTTGATGCCTCGTACCTCTTTCTAATTACAAAATATACACGTTAGTAACTTCAAGGAAAATAATAAACAAAACAGTTAAATCAAATAATAGAAATAGAGATTTGGGACCAAACCCTCAGAAATTAAACCTTTCACGTCTAGGGCGAAGGCAACTTCGAATATGGATAGGTGTTTCTAGATGTTGTGAATGCGGCATTTTGTATTTGAAAAGCAAAGTAAGAAGAAAGAATTGAATAATTAAGAGAATGCTAATTAAAACTGATTGTAGATGAGAACTCGTGAATGATGAGAATTGGTGAATGATAGATGTAGATGCTGAATGAAAACGGAGTATTTAATACGATATTTATAGAGAAAATCAGCCAAAAAGATAAATTAAACAAAACAGAGTCTGACGCACAGAAAACAGAGCTGGCGCCACCCTTGGCTAACTAGCGCCAGGCACCAACACTAGCGCCAGGCGCCAGGCCTGGTTCCAGGCGCCAAGGCCTGGGGTTAGGCGCCAAGCCTGATTTTAACGCGTTTTCGAAAATCAGATAAATTTACCGTACTGGAGGATAAAATCATATAATTTCCTCGAAAATGCTATTTGATTTTGGTTAAAACTCTGAAAAGTCAAAAGTCAATTTATCAATGCTAATTGAATTAGGAATGAAAAGAACCTTCTAGAAGAATCTAGAAGACCAAAACCATTCCTAATTGCATTAGGAATGACAAATCATATTAGGCCCTCCTCTAGATCATTGGGCCGTATATAAAGCTCTAACCGGGCCCAGTTTGGTAAATTGGCCATAACTTCCTCAATATTCATCGGAATTGGGCTTATAATATATCGTTGGAAAGGTCTTTGCAAGCCCCATCCAACTACACTACTATTGGATCCATATCATGGACCAACCAAACTGGATTGGCTGTTTTCTTAAAATAAGTTTTCAAAAACAAAGAGAAGAGAAAAGAATTAAAACTTTCCGCAACACTAGACTTTCCACACTTTCACTTCATTCGATTACGATTCGACGTGAAAGGTACTCATCACCGGGTTTGGTTTTGGGGAGACACATTTGGGTGTCTACAATACTATTTACTGTTAGATAATAAGGGGATAATATCTTGTAAGTTAGTGTGGGGAATAAATTTCAAGCGTTAAACCCCTTTGCTTGAACCCCACTGTGATCATACACTAAAGCATGGTGGCGTCCAAAAGGGAAGAAGATAGAGCAAAAGAGTCGCCAACAAGTTTTAGGAACTTGTAAACCGTTCACAGGGTGAAGGTTACACCCCTTAACGATCCAAGAGATCGTCAACTCCATAAGGTCTTGAACCAAATAAGGGTTTGGAGATGAAGGTACAAATCCAATCTAAAAGAGATTGAACCTTCCCTAATAATAGGCCTCTACTTTATTCTAATCGTATTCATGTGCGCTTTCTGACTAACATGCCATCAATAGGATTAACCCTAAACCTGTTTATCTATGTTGGTTGAATTTAATGCACAAATAAAACTATTATTGGCGATCACTTGAATTATAATCACATTAACCCTAAACAAGATTATCAAATATCTTATATAAGCGTGATTACAACTACAAATTCCCTTTAAACATGCATAAAAGGTATGATCAAGCAATGACAATATAATATCAAGCAACATAATCATAAAATAATAAAAATAATCATAATTATAATTATCATCAAAATAATAATAAAAATAATCATGAATCATGTTAAAGCATAATAATAGCAAGATCCTAGGCATGATACTAACAAGAATAATAACAAACCCTAGCATGTCACTAAGCAATAAAAATCAAAGCTTCAACCCTAACATGATACTAACAATCATAAATATTAGGAAGAACATAGGAAGCATCATACTTTTAATCATACTTGATATTAAAGTTACCGTAGACATGATACTAGGAATCATAATTACAACCTAGCATGATTTCTACATCATAACATCAATAAAAACCATTAAAGCACTTAATTTATTGCCTTGTACCTCTTTCTAATAACAAAATACACACGTCAGTAACTTCAAGGAAAATAATAAAATTAAAGAATTAAATTAAATAATTGAAAGAGAGATTTGAGACCAAACCCTCAGAAATTAAACCTTTCATGTCTAGGGCGAAGGCAACTTCGAATATGGCTAGGTGCTTCTAAGTCTAATGAATGCGGAATTTTGATAGTTTAGAAGCTAGTTTAGAAAAAGAGAGAGAAAGAAAGATGGTGAATGATTAAAGAGAATGAGAGAATTGAAAACTGGTTGTAGGTGAATGAAAACGGAGTTTTTAATACGTTATTTATAGAGAAAATCAGCCAAAAAGATAAAATTATCAAAATAGAGTTTTGGCGCACGTAAAACTGAACCAGCGCCAACGTTAGTTGTTGGCGCCAGGCGCCAATGCTGGCGCCAGGCGCCAAGCGTATCGCCAGGCGCTACAGCTGGCGTTTGGCGCTGATTTGGAAAATTACGCGTTTTCTCAAAATCGGATAAAAATTGTCGTACAGGAGGATAAAATCGTATTTTCCTCAAAAATGCTCTTTGATTTTAATTAAAACTCTGAAAAGTCAACAAAAGTCAATTTATCAATGCTAATTGAATTAGGAATGAAAAAGAACCCTCTAGAAGAATCTAGAAGACTAAAACCATTCCTAATTGCATTAGGAATGATAAATCATATTAGGCCCTCTTCTAGATCATTGGGCCGCATATAAGGCTCAAACCGGGCCCAGTTTAGTAAATTGGCCATAACTTCCTCAATATTCATCGGAATTAGGCTTATAATATATCGTTGGAAAGCTCTTGTCAAGCCCCATCCAACTACACTACTATTGGACCCATATCATGGACCAACCAAACTGGATTGACTGTTTTCTTAAAATAAGTTTTAAAAAACAGAGAGAAGAGAAAAGAAATTAAAACTATCCGCAACACTAGACTTTCCACACTTTTGCTTCATTCGATTATGATTCGACGCGAAAGGTACTCATCACTGGGTTTGGTTTTGGGGAGACACAAATGGGTGTCTACAGTTAGTTACGTCAAATCCATATTCCGTATAATGGTTAGAAACCATAAAATCTGAAATAGACTCCATGTTTAAAAATCATATTTTAAACATGATTAATTTACATGAAGAATAACGACTGATCAATTGCAAATAAGTTTTCAAGGAGAAAAACCAATAAATGTAGAAATGTATATGCACACATAACTAGATTGGTTGAAAAGGATACAATTAAATTCACATTTTTAATTTTAATAAAAATATATTCACCAATCAGAATGCTTATGTCTTTTTGTGATTATTCTAGCAAAATTTCACATATGAAATCTGGGAATATAGATACCAAAACTGCCTTCCTAAAACAGGATTTTGGAAAAGACTATGAAAATAGTTCATGGGTTTTTAAAATTTAAATAATGCTAGCAAGCTCAAGTAATCCATTGTGGGATTGAAGGAAGTATTTCATATAGGAATTGGAATGTGTTCTCTCATAAAGTTAATTAAAGGATTTTCTTATGGAGAAACATAGAAGTTCTTATGGATAAGTAGTTTAGTGGGAGCAAAAATAAATCTTGTAAGTTCCAACTAGAAGTTTACGAACTCTATTGTGAAATGACTATCAAATGCTTAATGCTTAGATCTGAAAGTCTTTTCAACAATGGACCAAGCAAAAGGTAATACTTACTAAATATTGGGAATTAAGATCTATTTTATAGACTTAACATTACTACTAAACCCGCATATTTTAGACGTTTTTCCCTCGACGCCTTGGCTGTGGCATCTGTGTACAATTTTTAGTTTCGCTTTTTCTTGACGCTTTTCAGTGTCGAGGGTTTTTCTCGACACATAAAAGCGTCGAGAAAATCACGTGTCATACACGTGACTCCCTGCTGCCCGCAATTATAAAATACTCTCCAAATTAAACCGCCCACGTACTATTAAATTCTTCATAAAGTACTTTTCTCTCTACTACGCTACAACATACAGATCTTCTACTTTGGGGGTTAAATTCCGGGTTTTCTTGCTAAACTTCAACGAATTTAGGGGGATTTTGCTCTTCACTTTCAGAAATTTTAGGTAATTGATTCACAATTTGCTTTACAATTTTTGGTACCCTAATATCTCACAATTCTTTAAATTTTGTTAAATTTGGGAATTTATTCTTTGCATGTCTTCGATTTTGAATTGGAGTAGAACAAGAATCGATCTCTTATTGCAAGGTATTTTTTTGCCCTTAGTTAGGTAATTTAATTTCTTTTTTTTTTTTCTTTTTTTCGTGAATTCTGTTTTCAAATTTTTATCCCTATTTTTGTTGTTTTTTATTTTTTAAAAAAGTTTTTTATAGGTGTGATGAATTTGATGGCGTTTTCTAGGGAGTTACTAATGGATTTTTCGACTATGTTGTGATATCACTTTCTTGTTTTCAAGATTGTCTTGAATTATTTGGAAAAGTTAAAGGTTTGCTGGCTTAAATAGGGGTTCGTATGCAGGCCCGTCCCTAAGGTAGGGCAATAGGTGCCATCGCCCGGGGCCCAACTGAAGGAGGCCCAAATTTACATTAAAGCCAGATTTATAATAAAAAAAAGAAAAAAAAAATTCTTAATTAATGATACTACCTACGCATGCTTTTCTCCAGTTTTCCATATCATGTTCATCAGTTCATATTCCCAAATCTCAAGTTCTCAACTTCCAATTCCTATATTCATTCGTAATTAGTTTCCCAAAAATATTTTAATTGCGATTTTCCAACTCCCCTTCCTAAATAATCTCTTTTCAGCCAAATTCAATTGATCTTCTTCCCGTTTTTTTTTTTTTTTTTTTTTTTTTTTTTTTTTTTTTTTTTTTTGTAATTTTCAACCACATTAATCTCCAAAAACAACTCTAATTCAATAATCAAACGGTCTTCTTCCTTGATTTTCAATGGAATTCGCCTCACATTATTCACCTATAAATAATCCCCCATCCAATTATTCTACATCTCAATTCAATTTTCTGATTTATTTTCTTACTCTTTGTTTTAATTTAAACACTTGTAATGGGTATTACGGTGGACGAATATCGGAAATTTGGAGATCGATTTTGCTATGCTCGAAAAATCTGAGTCCTTTAGGTAATGTCAATTTTTTGTTTTTAATTTTTGAATTTAAGATTTTGTACAGTAATTTATAATTGCAAATTTTTTTTTTGGTCTTGGGTAAAATTTAAATCAATTCTTTTCTGTGAATTATTTAAATATGTTAGAGCATATTGATGTCGACACTATTATTGGTGATTTTGCATCTAGAAATGCTGTAGACAATGTTTTGTATGATGATTAATAAATTTTAAGTTTACTGTTTTTTTTCCTTTACTGTAAGTTTGCAATTTTTTTTTTTTTTTTAATCATTTAAAAAACAAAATTTATTTTTCATTTTTTTACTTCACTCGATAATAAGGGCCCCAAATTTTCATTTCGCCCATAGGCCACCAAAAAGCTAGGAACGGGCCTGTTCGTATGATGGTGGTTTTTTAATTTCTCTTTGAATTCTGTACCAAGAAAGTCACTGATATACAATTCTACATATACCTAATGACTCACTTGTAGCATAAGTGGTAAGAAAAATGTTTGAATATCAGTAGTAAGAAGAACAGGCTGTGTTCTGAAATACCGCTCTTTAAATGATTTTCATTTATATCTTAACCAAGTGAATAAGGGGTTGGATTAATTTTTATTTTAGCGTAGATTATTGAAATTAATGTGTTATTTTGTAGATGGATTGTATATGTCTAATCATTCCTTCAGATTTTAATCTAGATTTTATGCGTGTTCCAAATGCCACTCTTATTAGCAGTTGTTCTTTACTCGTCTTTCAACCTATTATTGTTTATTTGAGCCTATGAGAGCTCTAGATTTTGACCCTTAATTAAGAAAGGAAAATTTTAAAAAGAAGGGTTGGGGAGTTTGTTAAGTTTAGAGGTGTAAGCTGATGTGAGCTTAATTATTGAAGATATAAGTGCAAGAGTTGTAACATCACTTGATGCAATACTATTATGTATTGAACTCAATGTGTGACTTCTTATTTCATGGCTTTAATCAATTGTGCTTACTATATTAAATACTTATTTCTTATTTCAACTCTTATATAATTCTCATTTATTTTTCTTTATTCATACTTCAGTTTATATACACTAATACTTTTGTTTTCTTGGATTAATATTTTTGTTGTTTTGCATGGTTTCTTAATTCGATTATGATGTATTAATCTTATTGACATGCTTATATGATTTTTGATTTCTGTTCTTTTTAGTAACTTATCTTGCGAATTTACCAGGAAAAAAATGACTTATCGAACCAAGAGAGCAAGGGAGATACTTGCTGGCACAACAAAGTCACATGATCCAGTCTCATCACAGTCACCAATAACCACAACTGCACATACTTCTTTTACTGCTGAAGCTTCACAACCCACCAAAAAACAAGTTGCATATACTACTTCTGTTGTTGAAGCTTCACAACCCACCAAAAAACAAGCTAGAAAGTCACCACAAACTGAGGTTCTTAGGGATGACAAATGGGGACCTTTTCCTCCACCCATTACCACTACAAAATGTGACCAACCACCACCTAATAATTTAGGATCCATTTGGAAAATTCCTCCTGGTTCAACATTGAGTTCAGTTAAGGAAGGAGTTAATGAAAAGCTTAAAGACCAGGTCGGACACAACAATCTTCTTCTTAATGCACTTGTTGAATAGTTTTATGAGATTGTAGGTGCAGTTCTTCAAGGGAATAGATCTTTAATTCTTCTAAAGAAAACATCTGAATTCTTAGAAATGGCAAACAACCAGGTAACAAAGTTGCATTTCTCTTTATATCATGTGTTGTGTTTAGATGCTAGAGTCCCTATTTCTGTGGACCAAAAGTCTTATAATTGCATGGCTCATGTTGATGGTTAAAAATTGTATGAACCGATGAACTACCCCCTTTCCTTTTATCTAATGAACTGCCTTACTTCTCTGTTTTCTCATCACATTACAACTTCTGTATTTTGAATTTCTTGTTGGACTTGTTCAGTTTTCTTGCTTAGGCAGTTGTTGGTTTTTAGGAATCAAATAAGAACCGTCTTATTTGCCGTTTTTGCCAATCCCCAATCTGCCTTATTTGTATTAAACAAGATTGTGGACGGTTTATTCTTTTGCTTTCGTGTGGGTAAATATTTGGCCTCCCATTAATTGATGGTTTAGATATTTGGTCTCAAGTTGGTATGTCCCTTGTTTAGCATGCCAAATTTTACAGATTGTCCCATCCATCTTGTTGCCATAGCTTAGGCCGAGTGCTGTGCCTTTATTTTATGAGCTTTAGACTAAGGTAAGTAGAGCAACCCATGCTTTGCCTCGGCTCATTATCTACCCTTAAGGTTTTATTTGTATTAAAAATACCTACGTTTCTTGTTTTGAGTTTTTGGCCATTGTTACCCTTCCTTATTTGCAGTTTTTGCCAATCCCTAATATGAAAGAACACACTGGTATAACAGCTTTTGACAATCAAATAAGATGGCACATATTTGTCCCATCTTGATGAGTGGCTTATTGCATATGAATTTTTTAGGGGTTATAATTAAATTAATATTGGCTCCATCTTGTTGCCATAGCTTAAGCCGAGTGCATTGCCTTTAGTTTCTGAGTTTTGGACTGAGGTAAGCAGACCAACCCATGCTTGCCTCGGCTCATTATCTACGTTACCCTTAAACTGAATACTAAGCTGAAATCCAGAAATGAATCTAGCTCTGAATTTCAGAACTGAATTAACAGCTGAATTTTAGAACTGAATTCAAAGCTGAATTTCAGAACTAAATTCAGAATTGAATTCAAAGCTGAATTTCAGATCAGAAGTTCAGAACCGAATTTCAGATCTGAAGTTCTAAACTGAAAATCAGATTTGATACATTTATACTTAAGTTGTTGCTTAGCAGACTAATCTGATTTCAATATGTGTTTGGTCTTTCATGCAATCAAGTTCACTCTTGAGTTCTTGTATGCTTAAAGCTTATTTACAATTGGTGAATGGAATGGCTAATTTAAGTTGTTAATAATCTGATAGGATTATTGTGTTTCAAATTCATCTGAATGCACACAAATTATATCTTCTATGAGAAAGCTGTAAAAAAATTATGTATGCTTCATTTTTTTTAAGTAATGCAAAAGAAATTTAACGAGTTAGTGTCCAATTACAAGCTACTCTTCTGCTATTATAATCTGGAAATCAGAAGTAAACAAGTAAAGCAGAATAATCTGACAGAATAAAATGCATAATGTGTTGGTCTGCTAAGTAAGATTAAGATAATTTCTTAGCTTGCCTGATGCTACTAAATTCAGCAAACTTACTGTCATGCTTGTAATTAAACATGTCTTGCTTAATCTGAATAACTAATCTTAGCTCTATATTTTAGTTTTGATTTGAAATTTATTTTCAACCTACAATTTATGCACTAATAGAATATAAAATATATAGCTAAATACACACATTGCTTACTTACATACTGTTTACTTGTTGCATCAAAAAATAAAAAATAATGTTTACTTGTGTGTGTGTGTGAAATTCAAAGCTCTTGTGTGTATGTGTGTGTGTGTGTGTGTGTGTGTGTGTGTTTGTAAGCCTATATTGTGTAATGTACTAATTTATATTTTGTATTTTTTTTATGATTGGAAAAGGCAATGTAGGTGCAACAAGAGAATAGGCTGGAACACTTGAGCATCAAATCAAGCAACTATATAGTCTATAATGCCATCATCTATCTATTTTGTTTTTTAGTCTTAATTATATTAGTGATGTATTTATTTAGGGATAAGCTACTATATAATATGTGACGCCTTTTCTTTTTTTATTTTTATTAATTGTGTTGATGTTTTTGTTTATAAATTTGGTAATTTAATTAACCACATACTCTTATTATTGTTGATTAATTATTGTTTTTTTTTTTTAATCTGATCTACTTATATAGAATATTTGTTTACTTCATTTTAATGTTAATAATTTAATTTATGATAAATTTAAATAACTATAATGTATGTATGATGGTAATAATTTAATAAAAGGAAAAAAAAAGCTTAAAAAAATTTTCTAGACGCTTTTTAATGTCTATATATTTTGCATATTTTCAAATTTTAAGAGTTTCCCGCCATATGGGCTGACACGAATAAACACAAGACAAAAAAAAAGCATCGCTAAATTTGAGTATGTGGACTTGTAAAAGCGTCGCTAAAAAACTACACAAAGTTGGGAAAATGCGCGAAATTAGTATTTTCCGACACTTCGTATATTAGTTAGGACACAAAACAGCGTCGAAATTCTCGACGCTTTTTTGTGTCCCTCAAAATTCTCGACTCACGGATTTTCGACGCTTTTTAGCGTAAAAAAAAAGACCTAAAAAGCGTCCAAATAACACGTCTTTTGTAGTAGTGTATAATAAAATGTTTAAACGAGTAAAGGAATTTGCTGTGTTAAACATGTTGGATTTTGAAAGGCTTTCGACCCGTGTGTATAAAACTAAGTAAATGTTTGAACTAAGTATAAGCTAAGAAAATACTAAGTCAAATAAGAAAGACTCTAGTAGAGACTTTCAACCATATAACATAAACAATAATTTAGCAGGACTCGGTGAAATTAGATGAGCTAAAAGGTCATATGAATGGAAACAGTTATACAATTGAGACCACCATGTATGCTATGATATGGAGACACCACACAACTTACATGCTTAGAGCATGAGAAGTAAAAAGTACAAATCAATTTAAATATAAGTAATGGATCGTTGGATTATTATCAAAAGCATCTAAAGTACTTGAATAAGTAAAAGAGATGAGTTCTTGATGCATGAAAACAAATCAAATTTGAGAATTGATGTTGTAAGCACATCCTTAGCAAGGATCAAGATCCTTAACAAGGAAGCCATTTATCAGCACAAGCTGAAAATGCTTAGAGGCTTGGAATGGTAACATGGACGCACATCCATGTGTAATGTGTTGAAATTTAAGCTAAATTTCCATGATCAGTGATAAGGGTATCCCAAATCATTGTGACCCATTTGGAATAAAATCTAAGCAAAGAACCATTAGAAAGTCTACTAAAATATTTGTTGAGAATATTGTTTCCTTAAGGAAATAATAAGAAAGATGTTCAATGGAAAGTTCGTTGTTGAATGTTCGTGATTGTAGTTTGTCAAGTTGGAGATCTCGAAACATGGAAATGAGTGGGAGCCATCACTTGGACAATAAATCCCAAATCACATATAATCCATAACACTGTCAAATTTTATCATCTTATTATGAAAGTATTCGACAATGAAGATGCTAAGATTTGCAAAGTAATCATAATTAAACCTATAAAATAAGTGAACGACAACATTCACAATTGCATAAAAGAAATCAAGCATATTAAATATGGGCATGATTTTTATTAATGTTTAACGATGAATTTTTTCTTAAAACATTTAGGAAAAACCATTTATCATAAGATGAAACGTTAAAAGGTTTAATAGTGGAATAAAATTTACTAATTATTCCATAATTAAATTTAATTGTAGTTTAGAATTAAGTAATGAGTCCATTTGATTTTGAGAATATTTAAAATAGGGTATCAAGATAATGTCTTAGATAAAGAAACACCTATCAAAGTTAACATTGAATATTACAATCGAGAATTATCCCTAATCAAGGTCTTTTAAGTGATGGACGATTAATGACCACTTGAGATTAGTGTGTAGTATGATTTATAGAACTGTTTCTTGTGCTACAAGGACATGATTGTCATAAATCATTTGCGCAGGTATTGGTTTAGAACCATACCGGATTGACCTATGAGAATACTTTAAGAAATTTAAAACTGTCATTAGTATACTTCTTTCCTCGACCATGAGTATTGTAAGTTCTCTTGCATGAGTACTAGTCTGTTTTGATGTTTGTCAAATGTCAGCTGTACAAGTGGATTATAACGGCAACACTCAGGCGGGTAGGTCCTCTTAGCAACAGAAGCTAATAATGCAAGACTAGGAATTGACAAGGGAAATAAACGCGTCGTCAAATGTCTATCCCTATATTAAAAACAATTTATACAACCTAAATAAACCTAATGCGAGTAGAAGGCAAGCATAGGGGTCAATCCATAGGGAAAGAATAAACACCACCAAATGTCATCAACAATTAAGCTAGTCCTGAATAGAAGATAACTAAACTAAGTCTAAATATGCCAAAACAAGAAATAAAACACTAAGGGAAACGGTGTAGGTATAGCATTCACTCAACATAAACAAAGGCATAGAAGTCGAATTAATCATGAACTAAACATGCATGAATATCGATATAAAGGATCCAATCTATCCACCTTCCGGGGTTAATTGGCTTCATCTAACATAGCCTCTATGTTCTCGCATCAGAACCATATGAACTTAGCTAAGTCAACTTCCGTTTCGTGTAGCAAAGATTCACCTTCAATCAACTAACAACGTGCACTTTGCAAGAACATCGAAGTATATCAAGCATATAAAAAATTTAATCACAAACAAATTAACTCTAAACCCTACAACATGCTCAAGAAAGATTCAACCAAACCACAACCATCCCTTTAATGGGGAAATTACTCACTAATCATGTTAACAACAAGATTAATTAAAAAATAACCAAGCATAAACATGATTAACAAGCAATACTAACAACTAAAACAATAATAAAAATAATGCAAATAAAATAGAGGAGAGGAAGTTAAAATTCTCATTGATTAAATAAGATCTCCAAAACAAATGTCACAAGTTCAATCCTAAATCTCCAAATACCACCATTGAAGATCTCTTACTTTCTCTCTCTAAAACCCTAACTATGAAGGTTAATCCTCCCTAAACCCTAAAACTAGAGAAGGATGCTCTCCTAAACTATTTAGGAGAATATAGAATAATTTTTTATTATAATTACCCTAAAATGGGTATTTATACTTGTAGACACATAAAAATGTCTCCCCAAAACCAAACTCGATGATGAACAACCTTTCACCGCCATTATTGGTCGGGTTTAGTATTTAATCTTTGGAGTGCTTAAATCCATATTCAAATCCATATTTCCATTTCATAAAACAACCCAATTCCTATCCCATTTCCCCAAAATATAACTTATTTTTCTCTTTTCGTGCCTTTAAACCCAAAATAATTCATTTCGTGTCTTTTAAAATCACTCTTTTCGTGTCCTTTTTATAAAAACGTTTAATCCAGTTTATTTTGGTCCATAATATGGGTCCAATGATTAAATATTTGGATGGAACTTTAAAAAATCTTTCTAACGATATATTATAGGCCCAAATCCGAGTTATAACGAATAAGTTATGAGCAAAATATTAAACTGAGCCCAAACCGAACCTAAGCCCACCTTACCTACAACCCAATGATCATGTGGAGGGTCCAAATGATTTAATCCAATTTTAATTGGTTTAAGCTTCTATAAGTTTATAAAATATCCTAATTATCCGTTTTAAAAAGATAAGATTAAAGAGTTTGGAATTGAATAAAACTCATTTTTTTGAAAGTCATATTTCTATCCGAATTGAAAGATGTTCAAAGATAGACAGATATTGTTTTCGTGCCTCATATTTTTATCCAAATTTTATATGGTTAGATATCCCTTGAAATTATCTTAACAATGATATATTATAATATCAATTCCGAGCTATAACGGAAAAGATATGAATAAAATGTCAAACTCTATCCAACACTAACACCGTCTCACTATTTCGGACATATCTTTTATTCTATAAAATATTTTAATCTGATTTTAATTGGGTTAGAAAGTAGACTTCAAGATCTTTCCAACTATATCTTATTCATCTTATTCCGATTTCTGGATCAAAAGATATGATTAAAAACAAAAACCGCAAAAACTGCTGTCTATCGAGTTTTATTCCGATTTAATTCGGATCTTATCTTGTTTTTTTCGACCTCTCTCTTTTCTCTATAAATAGAGGTCATATCACCCTTTTTCCAATCATCAACAAGTTTGATCATCAAATCCTTCTCTCTTTCTCTCTTTTACACCAAAAATCATTCTCTTCTCTCTCTCCGATATTCTAAGCCTTAAACCTATATTCCTAATTACACCATTCTTCCCTTAAGCACTCCAAGAAGTCCATACTATACCCAAAGTTCTATACTTAAACCAAGGCGTGAAAGGTATAATTGACTGAGGGTTTGGACCAAATCAACTCTACTTTAATTTATTTTTCATTTGATTTATATTTTTATTGAAGTTACTAACAGTTTATTCATGATGTAGCAATTTAAAGGAACACGCAGAATGTGAGTAATTAATTAATTAATTTAATTACTCTTATTTTATTTTTAATATTGCTAGTATCATGATTAGGGTTATTATTATTATTTGATTTGGCTAACACTATTATTGTTAAATTGCTTCCAATATTAATGTTTATTCTATTATATTTTTTATTGATCACCATATTGCATGTTTAAAGGGAATATGTAATTGAAAACCACGCCTAATAAGATAATTTGGACAACCGGTTTAGGTTCCTTTTTAATCTTGTTGTTTAATTCAAGTGATCACAAATATTTTAGAATTATATGTTGCATTAATATTCAACCAATTTAGCTTAATTATAGTTTGGAGCGAATTGAATATTTTGTTTGTATGCCTTTGAGATCGCAGGGATCACTTTTCACTATAAGAATCGAGTAGAGGCCAATACGGGCGAATGTGACTCCATGACTCACTTTCGTACCATCATCCCCGATCCTCCTTTCGTGGTTCCGAACCATATGGAGTTAGTAATCTCATGGATTATGAATGGGGTGTAACCTTCACGGGTCAATCGTTGTTTCCTTCGTTGTCCCTTTATCGTGGTTGCATTTAATGATCCGTGAACGGTTTACAAGTTCCTTAAAAACTTGTTGGCGGCTCCCTACTTTCCTTGTCCCTAATCGTATACGTCAATTCCCACTTCCTATGAGTGCCAAGCATATTCACACATGCTTTAATGTAGGTGCACTTCGAACGACGCCTACAATACTAAGCTATGAAAAAAATAGAAAATAAGAAAGGACAAATAAAAAGGAAAGAAATAAAGTAAAAGTAAAAGGAAATAAAGTAAAAGTAAAAGGAAATAAAATAAATAAAAAGAAAATAAAAATAAAATAATAA